GGGGTTGGAGCAAAGTGAACCACATCACGGCAGAGTCCGGGCCCGCCCAACGTGACCCTGGGGGGCGGCCCGGCCCGTCGCGCAGGTGAGAGCCTCCGAGCCCTTTTCTGGAGCAGGTGGCGCCCCGCCAGGGCGCGCATGCCCGCCCCCGCAGAGCCCCGCCTCGCCCTGCGCAGGTAGGTATGTGGGGCGGCGCGCGAAGGGCGCGGAGCGGGGGCGGCGGCGTTTAGCGTTCATCGGGGAGGAGGGGGAAGGGGGCAGAGGGCGTCCCAACGGGGTCCCGACGCTAGGGCTGTGCGGTATTGAAATTTCAGTACCGAACTTCGATATTAAAAAAATACCGAAACTTGTCGGTATCGGTTATCGATACCGTACCGAAAATATCGAAATACCGAAATATCGGAATACCGAAGTATCGAAATACCGAAATATCGAAATTTCGACAACAGAGAAGCTGACGAGGATGTGAAACAACTTGGGCACTTTGAAACTACCTCACCGAGCTAGAGAAAGACGCCGTCGACGCGACCGACGATATCGACGAAGTGAGGTCGTCTTCCTCTCCCTGCACGTCGACATCATCCGCGTCTTCTTGAACAGTTAACTTCAGGGCCTTGTACTCGAAAATGTGGTGGACCCTCAGATGTGCCCAAAGCCCCGTCGTGCAGCCCTTCTTGACGCCAACAGGCCGCCGGAGTACCAAATTCTTCGTTTGGAAATACCGAAATATCGAAATACCGAAATACCGAAATTCCCAAACCATCGGTATTTTTCGATATTTCGATAATATCGAAATATCGTTCCCGAATTGCAGAAATTTAAAATACCGAAGCATCGGTATAAAAAAAATACCGATATCGTTTCGGTATTCCCGAATATCGCACAGCCCTACCCGACGCGTCGCTTGCGTGATAGCAGAAGCATCTCGCCGCCACACGACGCCGCCCCAACCCATCTCGCCAGCGTCGTCAAACGAAGCCGCTGCCGCCTCAGTGGAGGGTCGATGCAGTGGCGTGGCCACGGCATTCTCCGTCCAGCCAGCGGGTCTTCTTGCTTGACGCTGCCCCGCCGCGTTGACGCCGAGCCAACCGTAAGCGCCCATTGACGGGGGTGGACGAGTCTTCAGTCTTGACGTGGCAGGAGCAACTCTAACCCAAAGACGACGGCGAGGAGAGAAGGACCAAGGGAGGACCGATACAACTGCTGCGCGATTTAGACGGCATCGACAATAACGAACCACACTCAACAATCGACGGAAAAAAAAATTAAAACCCCAAACACTCACTAACACAAATCAAATCTGCAGTGTGGTAGTCAAACTATGACAGCTTCATTTTTGAATTTAAATATGTAGCGGGGAGTCAACTGTCTAGCGATCGCTCGTGGGGGTAGAGCCTAAGGCCTATGGGGCGTGTGGGGGTGACTCACCTCCTGCAGCGCACGCTTGTCGGTGACCTTGGTGCTCTGCTGCAGCAGCCGGATCACGTTCTTGGCGCCCTCCACCACGGCCGCCTCGATGCGCAGCCGGTGCCGCAGCTCCTCGACGCGCTCCTCCAGAGGCAGCTCCAGGTTGGGCTCGTACGTCCGGCTCTCCAGCGCTGCAACAAAGAGACACACGTGTTATCACCAGTCGAGTTGGTGGCGGTGGTCGGGGTCGGGCGGGAGAGAGATGATGCAGTGAAAGCGATCGGCCGGCGGTGGGAACGCAGCGTCGCGGCGGCCGCCGCCTGGTCGTGAGGTGCACCGCGGACGGACGAGACAATGCAGCCGCTGCCGCTACTCCACCGGCGGGGCGAGGAGGGAGGAAGCGAAGCGAGGCGAGCGCAGCAACACGAATTTGCGCTCCTTTCGTTTTCACAAATGTTAATTTTCTAAGGGGAAATTGGTGTGCGTGAACAACACCATTCACGGCGAGACAGCGAGGCGCCTGACGGAGGCGCGACCGCGAGGCGCCTGACGGAGGCGCGACCGCTGCTGCCGCCGCCACCGTCTGCCGGGTCGGGGGTTCAAGGACCGAGAGCAGAGTCTCGCTCGCTGCCGGAGCTCTGCCGGCCCCAGCGCTGCACACGGTCTGCCTACACGGCAGTTTGGGTCAACTCGTACCGTGTCGTGACACCCTTTCGCCCGGAGCAGGTCCTGCGAGCACCTCCTCCAGGGCAGGCCGGACCACTCCGGGTCACCCCGCCCGGGCCCAGTCGACCCGTCGTCAACCTAGATCCGAGCGAGGGAGCGCCGTTGTGGAGGACGGCCCTAACACCAGGCACCAAAGAGGAATTCATTCATTACTGCAACCCCCGTTCTAAATCACGGAGTTTCGGATGAAAAGATCCAGGAATGAATGTAAGTTCCGATAAAACAATCATGTTCTCTTAATCGTCACACATTTTTCAGCGGAACGCCACGACAACCTAACACGGGATTGAAAAAGCGTTCGATTCATTACTTCTTGCTTTCATTTCGAGATTTAGCAGAAAACGATGGCAAGTCATCGATGACCAGAGCAGGAGATTCGCCCGAAGGGCATTTAATCGGGGAGTCGCTGGCTCTCAAGAGGAACTGCCACCGGAAACACCTGAACGAGGAGGGGAAAGCCCCTTGTAGTCGCAGAGCCGCCCCTGCGCGCCCGCGCGACCCGGCCGACTAGAACGAACGGGTCAGGCGGGTCATTTCATATGGCAGTTCCAGACCACCTCGGGGTACAGCAGGACACCACGACAAGCAGGGCAGGGCAGGGAAGGGCAACAGGCTGCTCCGCACTGCAAGCATGTGGGGACAAGAGCAGCCAATCAGCAGAGTGCGTGGGGTGGGGCGGCTACGAGGCGGGCCGGGCGGGCTGGGCGAGTAGGCCGACCTAACCTAGTGAAAATGGGCCACCAGAGGGGAGCAAGCAAAACGTCCGTCGCCATTCCAGATAAAACGGTAATTAGGATGAGAAGCTCGAGTGCGTGCGTGTGCCTGCCAATCTCCCTCCTCTCTCGCTCTCCGGCTCTTCTCACCTGCTGGCATCTTCAAGGGCCGTCGGTAGGGCAGCAGCATGATGCTAGCGGGAACACCGACACACATGCACACAACACACCCCCCTCACAAACACACGGGCCCGCCGCCGATACGGTGGCGTCGTCGCGCCCGGGGGTTAGGTGCGTCGCGCGACGCGGTGGACGCGAAACAGCAGAGCAGCAGGGGCGTCGGGGCGGCGACGGCGACGCCCCATGGCCCGCGCCACGCCAGGCCACGCCGCGCCACGCCGCGGCCGCGTTCACAGACAAGTCCGTCCCCGTTGCTCGCCGCTGGGGGCGCCCATTGGCACGGAGGCAGTGACAGAGCCGAGGCTGGCGCGCAGCTCCCGGGCCGCGCCGCGACGCGCCGGACCGCACGCACTCGGCCAGGGCGCCGCGCAGGGCGCCGCGCAGGGCGCCGCGCGGCCCACCCGGGGCTATTAAAAGGCGCCGCGGCCCCCCGGCGTCCCCAGGGAGTGCGACAGAGACGGCGACGCCAGGTGCAGCGCCACCGGGGCGGCGAGAGGAGCCTGCCCGCCTGCCTGCAGGGAGCGACCCTGGACGTCGTCGTCTGGCTCCGAGCACCCCGAGGACGCCGCGGCAAGGGAGGGACGCACTCAGCACGCACGCACGTACGCACAAACGCACGCACGCACCGCGGAGAGTCGCGCCCGCCCGCCGAGCGGTGGCGCCACTTGCCGCGTTGCTGCCCTTGTCGTCGGCGCCGACGTCGCCGTCGTCGCGGTCCTCCCGGCAGCGATACCCCGCGTGCACGATGATACTCACATTTGAGGTGGTGGTCGCCGTTGCTCGGGGTATCGGCGCGGTGCGGGTGGTGCTTCCTCATCTTGTCCATGCGCATGCGCAGGAACTCTATCTTGGCCTTGGAGTCCTGCAGCATCTGCTGCGCCTCGGCGAGCAGCTTCTTGTCCCGCGAATGGCCGCTGCGCGAGGTGAGGCTCTGGATCATGTTCTCGGCGCCCTGCTTGACCTGCAACAGGAGAGACCGCGACGGGGTTAGGCTAAGGAGTAGGCCCGACACCCCCCGGCGCCAAGGCCACGAGCACGCTGCAGTGTAGTGTTTAACCAGGTGGCGACGGTCCTAAACCACCTCCGCCACCTCGAGCGCACAGACACTCTTGCGGCCCGTCTAAAGTTAGACACGGCGCGGCACACGAAAGTCATCAAAGTTTTAGCAAAAGTTGCAGCGGGCGCGGCGCTTATCCTCGACCACGTCATCGGCGGCATGAGGCGGGCCGGCCGGGGGCCAGAATTAGAACAAACATCGAGCGCGACAGGGCGGACGCCCCCTGTTCACACAAATCCGACAAAATTTACGAGGCGCGTGTCGCAAGAAGTCGCCCCCGCCGGCAGCGGCTGGTGGTGGCGGGGCGGAGGGCAGACCCGTCGCACGTGGCTGCACCGCGGGGCTGCCTACCCGCCGCCGACGCGACGCGCACCTGGCGACACTTTCCTCGTCCACGCTGCCGGCCGCCCATCTCCGCGCGGTCGGATACCCACCTTGAGCTCGATGTTGAGCTGCTTCTCCAGCGAGATGAGGCGCTGGTCTCCGCACATGGCGTCATCCTGGCTGGGCGTCGCCTGACCCGACGCATGACCCGCCGCCGGCGACGTCACGGCATCTGAAACAGACAAGCGGGAGACGCGTCAAGGACACTGCGATGCAAGGGCGGGAAACACACACTGATATTGAATGACCGGCACGCAGCCTCGCCGTTTGCAGTCGGTGCATCCCGATGACGCAACCTCTCTTCTCGCGCACCCTTCGCGGCGCGGGCCCACAGGCCGGCTCGGCTCGGGCTCGAGGTGCGCGCTCTCGGTGCGCCCACGGCATCTGATAAGCTGCAAGCCTTAGGAAAGGAAAGTGCTGGACCCGGCTGCTGCTGCTGAGCCCCGCGGCCCCGACCCCAGCGCGGGGGCCACCGGAGAGGAGAGGGGTTGGGATAGGTCGGGTCCGCGCGACCGCCGCTGTCCCGCGCCTCAGCCGCCGCAGCAGCCTCAGCAGCAGCCTGCCCCGCGGTTTCTCCGCACAGCGCAGCGGAACGGCCGCTCGAGCCTCATGCAGATAAGTCACGACGGCGCGTCTGTCGACACACCAGGCAAATCAAAGGGCCGCGTCCGCAGCATCCCAATGCGCGAGCGTATGTGTGTGAGAGTAAGATCACACATCCGCGGCCGAGCGGTGCAGCGAGGGCTCATACCAGCGAGCTCACCACCTTACGCAAGCCGAAGGCCAGCCCTCCCCTCCATCGCCCCCCAAAACTTCCTCCTCCTCCTCAACCACCAAACTCCATCCTCCCTCCTCCTCGGAAGAACCAGCCCGGCATTTGGCGAAACAAACAGTCGTCCCTTTTTATTGTTTTTAATAATTTCCGGACGAGGGAGCAGAAGGAGGGAAAACGGCATAGTGTGAAGCGAGGAGAGGGGAAATTGGGGTGCCCTTCATCTCCTCGCCCTTCCCCCTCCTCCTTTTCCTGGCAGGTGCTCGTCCGATAGGGAGTCGGGGACGGGGAAGGGGGGTGGGGGGAGATACATCCGGACGCTCATCAAAGGAATGTACTCCAGATGTGTGCGTCGGCGAGGTCCCTACACGTACTCGGACCGGAAGACGAGAGGAAGTGAAGAGTGAGGAGAATCAGCAAACTTCTTCCTCACGATTTCCTCCTCCTTCCGCAAGAGCATCACCGGCACAAAAAAACAAAAACAATGACCATAAAAAAACTCTGGCTCAAGAAATACTATCACCAGTGACTGACATATCGCCCTCCTCCTCACAGTTCCCCCGGCCCCGGGCCGAGCCGTTGCGTCAGCTGATGCGATCCTTCCTCCGCCTCCTCCTTCGAGACGAGTAGCGGGTGGCGGGCGAGCGGTGCATCGCGGCGCAGCGGGACGCTATTCCTGGCTGCACGCACAAGGCAGGCCGCATCCCGCAGCCGTGCGAGGCCCGTCCTAGTCCAGCAGAGCATTATTCGAGCCGTTTTAAACACCGTGGCCACTTTTTCACATAATCGTTTCGGAATTCTCCTCGATGGGTTACCCGAAATGCCCAAAAAATGCCCCTATCAAGGGGACGCATAGCTAGAGATAGATGTCCTATCGGCGCTCCATGTCCAGCAGAGCAGCAGGCCACCGCAGGTTGTTTTTGCAGTGCAGACAGGCAGGCAAGGCAGGGCCGGGGAGGCGTATACTGCCCGTGTTTATCGCTCTCTTTCTTCCCGAGCCCCGCCAAAAGTACCAGACCATCACAATAAAAAGACCCGCGCCGCGCTCCAATGAGGCGTCATTATCTGGTCCCGGGGCAGCGGCGGCGGCCCGGCCCACGCAGCAACGCAGCACGCGACCAGCGCCGCCGCCGGCCGCCGCGGCCCCGCCAAGGTGACTGTCGCCGTCGTGCAGGTGGATGTCGCGCTGGATGTCGTCGTGTCCCCGCCGTCGTCTGGTGGCCGTTCAACCTCAAGCTTCCACCTCCTCCTGTCCCGCCTGCCGCGCCCTCGCCTGGGCCGGGACGTACCTCTGACGTCACCGGCCCACAATAGTGGCCCCGCCCGCACCACCGCGGCCCGCCACGAGCAGCACGCCGGCTATTGAGAACGGGACTCACTACTTCACTCTACACGCGGCGAGCGGGCGGCCACAGGCGCGCGCCGCGGCGCACAGCATGGAAACCATTACCATAAAAAAAGGCCGGCAATTTCCTTTTCTCTTCTTTTCTGCCACAATAAGGTGGGAGCGAGCGGAGGCGGGGGAGCGTAGGTACTACTACTCGTCGGCGCACGCTAGAAAGAGCGAGAGAGAGAGCGAGAGAGAGCACGTGACTAGCTGCTGTGTGTCGCACGCTGGGGCGGGGCATCCTGGCGCCAGCCTAGAGCACACGGTGGATTTGATCCCGCTCTTCCTACGCGACCCGGCACCGCCTCCTCGTCGCGGTCATATCAATGTCCGCGGCGAGGCGAGGCGAGGCGTGCCCGAGGCGGGACCCAACCGCGCCACACCCGGGGGGCTTCCTCTCCCGGTGTCGATACTTAATTCAATTTCCACGCTCATCCCCGACGAGCGCGGCGCGGCATGTGGCGTGATCGACCGGGCCCGGGAGGGGGAGGGGGGGGGGG